TTCTTCCACCACCAAATCTGTGGGTTCAGTTCCATATCCATAGATCTTGAAAGTGTGGGTATGGACGATTCTTTGGCGCCATTGAGAGTCTGGAAATTGGGTGTTGAATGGTGTTGAAGAGCTGGAAGGGAGCGGCATAATTGGTACTGAATGACTGGTGTACCCGGTAGTTGGCAGAGTGAGTCATGTTCGCAATCATAGACACAGGGACATCAGTCCCATGCTCCGAAGCCATGCGAAGATCCCGTGGGGAAGCTAAATTGGCGGCAGCGGAGTCACGTTTTTTATACTTGAGAGCTTTTAAAAAAAAAACGAAGTGGAAACTGGGATACCACGCCACAGCAAACCATTCGAAAAAGAAAAGGAACCAGAAAAAAGAAAAGGAAAAAAGAAATCTGCGATTTGACTGCGAGATCATGACACCATGGATCCTCGAACTTTTTCAGCCAATCTATGGTAAGTGTCCAGCGGGAAGAGCTCTATGGCAAGATAGGCGCATGATGTACGGCTGAGTGAAATCAGTGAAAGGTCTGGGAGGAAACAAAGTGCCCGTGTCCTCTTGCCGACACCATTGAGGTCGATGGGCATGAAGTAACTGACAAAGGTTGACGTTGCGCAGGACAAAAGTGTCGCCTGAGCTGTCATGCCATCGGAGATCCAACTCATCAGGGTCGATCTGAACATCCCAGGAGTGACCGAGATTTGGTCACTAACATTGGTGAGGAGTTCTCGCCCGGTGTCACACGAAGGAGCTTTTGGATACAGGGATGAGCCTGGAAAACGTAAAAAGAGCTGTTTCCTCCGTTCCAGTTAGGACAGAGGTAGATGACTACAGCGGGTCACCTGTAAAGAGTCTGACTGGCAAAGTTCTTCTGCAACATGTCGTATCTCACTGAAATCAATGATGATCAGAGCTCGTCGAAGGCGCCCGATCGTAGGGGTGGAGTTTGGAACCGAAGGCATCCCGAAGAAATCATCATGAGCGGAATTGTGAAGAGCTCGACGGGGACGAGAACGGGAGCGATCCATGACATCCATGACTGCAAAAGAGAAAGCGAAGTGAGGAAAATACCCTAAGAGCCAAAAACCGTGGAAGAACAATGAAACAGGGGAGCAACGTGAGAGGCCCGGGAACACATCGAAGATGACATGAGGAGCAGCAAAAGCCTTTAAGCGGAAAGAAAAGCTCAGTCGTCGGCCTCAATGCCGGCACGAGTCAGTAACTCAGGTCTGGTGTTTCGACCAAGGAAGTTGTCGAAGGGTTGCAGGGCCTTGGGCAAGCTCCACCCGCACTTCCAATGCGGACTCCCACTCCTTGAGATTCTTCGCAGTTCGGAGTGCCTGGGTTGCACCCCCGTCTAGCAACGTTTTCCCTTCTCCATGAACTTCAAAACTGTTGATTTTCATTGCTCGAAGAGCTGGTCCTCTCAGCCTCTTGAGCAAGGTAGTGGCTTCCGGAAGAAGCTCGTGGTGAGCTGCCACCATAGCAGGAGCAGCACGGCCCGAGTCCCCCTCTCCTCCAGGGTGACTAGCCAGCACTACACTGCCCATCTCCTCAGCCCTGTGGTGAGAGGTGTAATCCGGCTTGTCTGCCTTCTTCATACCCAAAATTGAGGCAGTTCCTTCCACCTCCTTTCCTTTTCCTCCACCTTTCTTTCCTTTTCCTCCTGCATCGGGTGCTCCACCACCAGTCGACATCGCCTTCACGGTGCATTCCCTCTTGGAGTTTTTGGTCGAACTGCAATTCCAGCATCGGCCACGTTTGTCGATCGTAGTCCAATCATGAAGATAAGTGCATTCCGCACCCTTCTTGCATCCATCATCCGTTCCAAAGAACTTGCAAGGGCTCCTTTCACCCTTTCCTCCTCGTTTCTCTGCCGCCTTCCCTTTTCCATCACCCTTCGGTGCACTATCCCCACTGGGCCCATCCATGGCCTTGACCTTCGCAGCTGTAGTAGTCTGAGTCCCGGCATGGTAGAGGCTCTCCGCTTCTGCCAGAACTGCATCAGCATAAGTTATATGACTGCTGCCAAGGTGGGGTCAATGTCGACCATCAGATGAGCTCGAGTGGAGTTCAGGCGAAAGGCAGTGTGGGCAGAGGCTCGAATGACCACCTGGCTCATCTTGTCCAGCGCATTCGTCAACAGCGTTGGATCCGGAGTGGCCACACTCAGTTCCCGAGCTCGTTTGAGATTTCTCTTCCAAGCTCTGACCTGATCCAAAAACTCACTCAAAGTCGATGGTGCCTTCCCCTCGAGCAACTGTCGAAGAAGTAGGGCTTTTTCTCCAAGTCCTCCTGGTTGATACCGGGTGTAGATTCTGTACAAGATCTCCACCGTGTTGGTGCTCCTGCTGGCAAGCACCTCACTCTTCAATGCTTCTGGAAGAGCACATAGCAGCATGCTCTGACCACGCTGCTCCAATCGTGCCCAAGGTCCTGTCCATTTGGCTGGAACCAGAGGGGCAATGCGAAGTCGTCGAACTGGGTCCAATCTCAGCCAACGCTGGAATCGGGATTGTTGATCCTAGAGGAACTCCATACCCTCCGTTTCCCATTCCGCCTCCTCCATTCGGCATCTGGCCATGCCCGTGCCCTCAGATGGTGGATGCCCTCCTTGACCCAGGAGAATGACCATGCTGTCCTCCATGTTGGAATCTATTTCCGTCCTTGTATAAACATAGTCAAAAGATCTCGGATTTCCGGGGCATTCATCGATCCATCCTCACCCCCAGCCCTGACTGATGTTGACGACTCCATGCCAGCATCACCACGTGGAAGCCCATGGGGACGTAGGGCTCGAAGAGTGACTTCATCCCTCACCTTCTCTGACCAGGAGGGATTGACAGTGGCGAGTGCCTGCTGGCCTACCTCACCTCCTTCCATTTGTCGACCCCCCCCGGTAAATCCCTTGCAACTGCAAGCTCCAAACCACTAGTTTTCCCTGTACCTCCAGAATTGTAGGTTCCATTGCAGGGGTGGTTGGGCTCAAAACCCACACAACGAAAATCAGCAACGAAAGGGCATGATGCTACCCTGGCTTTTCCTCCTCGGCACAAAAGGGCCCCAGTGATGCCCATGGTTGAAATGTCTTGACTGAATGGCAACAGGAATCCATGGCGTTTGCCTTGAAAGAGGAGGGTTCGCGCAAATTTGCCTAAAACCAATTCCAGGATATTGTTTTGTTTCCGGAAGCTGCGGAATTCAACCACGGTTTGACCTAGATGACCTAGTGATGTTGAATCCAAGTTGTTCACAGTGCAACTGTTCAACCCACTTGCCCGGATAGAGGAAGAGGAGGAGGAGGACGACGAAGGTCCCAACCCGACTGGTATTTAGCACCTGAAATCGTCTTGCAGAATACACTGAGCTTGAAACCTGTTCGGATGATAATCAAAATGAGACATCCACCACTCAAACTAGGTTGCAAGATTAAGATGAGGAAGTGCGCATTTGGAGGTACAATGAAGCAATTCAAGAAAAGAAGGAAAATGTGATCACAAGAACCAGGAAACCAATATCTATATAATGTATCGATCATCTATCTATTTGTGTATTGTTCGTTGTTTCTTTCTTGCTATCTATCTGATCCTATATTTCTATCTATCTATGTAATTCTATATTTCTATCTATATATCTAACCTTATGGTTCTATATCTATCTAATCTGATCTAATCTAGTCTAGTCTAATCTAGCGTTCTACGTAATCCTATATCTCTATCTAGTCTATCCTGTCTATTCTAATCTAATCAAATCTAATTATCCTAGTTTAATCGAATCGAATCGACTCGATTCCAATCTAATCTGATCTGATCTGGTCTGATCTAATCCAATTATCTATCTATAGATCGATCGATCCATCCATCCATCCATCCATTCATCCATCCATCCATCTATCTACATAATCCATCGTAATCCTATATTTCTATCTATCTAGTCTAATGTAATCTAACCGAATCGAAGCTAATCTAATTCATCTATATCTATATTTCTATCTGTCAATCTAATCTATATATAATGTTATTATATATATATATAAAAATCTAATCGAATCTAAGCTAATCTGATTCATCTATCTGCCTATCGATCTATCAATCTATCTATATAGATATATATATATATATCTATCGATGGATGGATGGATCGTTCGATCCATCCATCCATCCAATGCATCCATCCGTCCGTCCATCCATCCATCCATCTATCCAGCCATCCATACACATTTACGAAAAACGTCAGCAATAGATTTTTACAACCTGTTTAGAGTGGACTGCTGCCAGTACTTGGCAATGCAAGCCGGTGGTTTCTCACCTCCAACAGTAAACACTATATATACTGTGTACCCTCCGGTAATCAAACGTGGCAATGGAAAATTCACTATTACTGGGAAAATCATGTATGAAAGGGAAATTGTCCATGGCCACGTTTGAAAGCCGCACAGGAGAGTATAACTCGTTCGGCCTGTTGCCTTACAACATCCCAGCACCCGCAAATAGTAGGATTCTTGCAGCATCAAATGACTCTCTGAATAGCGATTCTTTGTTTTGGGAACCCCACTCTACAAACCTGCTAAAAGAAATGCATGCATTCTATGTTTTCTACCGTATGTCATATGTCTATTATACTCTGTTTGGATCTGTAACCATCAAAGCTTTACAGTGTGGTTGCGAGTTTTGCTGTTTGTTTAATGACCCGCTACCAGTATTAGAAGAAACAGGTAGTTATATAGGTGCGAAAAGGGTACGCCTCAATCCACATACTATATAATATATAAGTATCACGGTGCCGCTCTAATATATATTCCCATATGTTCCCTATGAAAATTGTAATTTTGGCAGTACACCCATTTTCAGCAGACCAAACATCACATTGTCGGCTATATATCCCAGCACATCCCCATTCTATCCCCAATCACTCCATAATTTCTGTTAATTATTGCTGGTATTTTCTAAATACATATGACATATGTTCAAACAGTTGTGCGGGGGTCTGCAACCCAGATTCCATCGAAACCCTTTTAGGAAGTGCATTCAACCTCAGCGGTGCAAAGCACGGTGGTGCAGCCCGGATGTACAACCTTCAAGGGTGACACTACAAACGAGTTGCACCAAACTTGATACCCTCTAGTAATGAAACATGGCAATATTGGCGAGAATCCCCTATATAGGGAGGTTTTAACCGGAAAATCATCGAACATCATCGAACTAAATGGTGGATTTTCTAGCACGCCATGTTTGACCAGAGGCTACACCCTAAACGAGCTGACCTTTGGCAAAGTGGCGGGCCATGGCGGGCCCTCTTTCCCCGATTGTGACAACTAGTGATAACCCCCATACAATCAGCACCTTGAGATCATTCTCCCTTTCCAATGGAATATACGTGAAGAAACCACCAACCAGTAGTTCTTACAGGATTCCACATGCCTTAGAATATCTCAGAATGATGCGAGATGCTGCAAATGCAAGGATGACAAGAATCTGTTCCAGCAGCTTCAACACATATGACACAGATTCATAAGAATACATGTCTAGACATCCAGATACATCCAGTAGCATGGTCTGCCACCTGTGCATGCCATGCAACTCACTGTCTGCGCTTCTCCTCGATCCGTGACCTGTCTCGCTTCCCACCTCATCCAGCTCTTCTGAAGCCACAGCACCAGGTAGTTCCATCGGTACCTCCATGGGCGCCGAGGGCACCACTGCGAAAGACAGTTTTTTGGGCCCTTTGGGCCCATGGTCTTCATGGGCCGCGGTTGCTGTGGTCGCTGTGGTCGCTTTCACCTCCGCAGCGTCATCTGAAGGATCTCCGAAGAAAAACTCCGTGAAGGACGTTCGAATGGGCGGCTGCACACAGAGCAAAAGAAGCTGAAGCCCTTGGCAAATGCTGTGGTAAGAGGCCACAGCAGTCCAGCCGCCCAGGTCGTACAGAATGCCTCCTATGGTGCAACTACTTGCTACCGCAATGGTGAAAACGGACAACAAAGTGGAAGTGGCCTGTCGAGCCTGGACTTCCGAGGCACCAAAGGTATCAAAAGCGATGCCTTCGATGGCACAAGTAGGGTCAAGGCATAGCAGCACCACAATTTGCGCGAATATGGCCCATAGGCTGGTTTGGTAGATCAAAGCAAGAACAGCAAATGTCAGGTGGATCGCTGCCAGGGGCACAATCAACCAGTAACCTGCTCGCAGTTGGAACTGCTGCGTCGCCACCCGCAACGCAAAGCCAACTGTGATGGCGACACCTCCTGTCACTAATGACCATCCTTGTTCCGCAAAATGCAAACTGTAACCTGGCCAAATGAAGCCGCTGACTGCACCATTCAGGAGTGGCATCAGGATGCAAACGAAAACCTTCATTTGCTGACAGTGCCCCTAAAAAAAGAAAACACATTCTAGGAGCTTTCCCCGTTTTTGTGAATTAGCCAATGCCGAGGCAAAAAAACATCACTTAAGGCAACCCAGGAGACGTATGAACAGCTGCATGGAAGCGTCTCATCGTCGTCAAAAGCTTCCCAAAGATCTTCGTCGGGTTCTTCGGCTGTATCATCTTGGCTCATGAACGCTCAGCAAGAAACGCCCAAAGGGGGGCCCCCAATGAGTAGTAAGTTGGTCACTCTCAGCCAACTGGGGAAAGTTGGTGAATCCATCAACTCACTTAGATGGTGGATAAACCGATTGAGATCATTTGGGGGGGCCCACCTTGCGCTATGCAGTCTCTTGAGCAAGAAGCTGTCGGTGACAGTGACAGTGACACTAGATGAGTCGAGTGCTATTCCCGATATCATACCGTGTCCTGTGTGCGATTCAGAGCTGACATTGGCTGACACTTGACACTCGTGATAGTTTTCTCTGGGTCTCAGGGTGAAACGCTCATAAGTAGTCCATTCATGTCCATTCAAAACCAAGTTCACCTCATTTCTCCATGAAGATGGAGCACAGTACCAAAACATTGAAATGAAATTCCACTTTTTTGTGGGTTCGGACAGGGTCAAGGTATTTCTTCACAGGAGCGACTCCTTTCAAATTTGTGCTTCGCCATTCGAAAAGATGAGTGCTGTGGAACTGCCGCAAGACAAGGTCCACCAACCAATGTAGACTAAGAATTGGTTTCAGGATCAAATATGCCGGACAGAAAACAACCCTTTGTGATTTTCTATGGTTTCAGGTCCTGGGTAGCCCTGGTGGCTTGGTTTCAATGGAAGACACCCCAATACAACTATGATAGACCAGATTTCAGGGCACCCAAAAAAAACTAAATGCCTCTAAATGCCCCGTCTACACCTGGCGCCAGGATCACACTACTGTCATCCGATGTCCGCCCTATCCGATTCAGGGCTGACACTCATTGATATGGGTTTGTCTGCAAATAGGCTGCCCCGAAATCAAAAAAAAAGTGCATGATCAATATATGTTCAATATTATCGCATTCAAATGGCAATTTGTTGAATTTCGGGTGCTATACCCCATTTTCCGCATTTTCCGAACACAGATGTGCTGCTTTTTCTGGTGAAACATGGTCAAGTTGGATGAGGACCTCCACCCTTCCACACTCAGTACCAAATGAAGTGAAATATCCATTCTTTATGGCGTATTCGTATATTATATATATATATATAGTTACTCTATAAGGGATGTTGTACTACTCAAGGTGTAAACCTGAAATGGCAGTCCAGATTCAGATGTTGTTTCGCCGTTCGAGAAGGTCGATATCGACTGATATATCAATAAATCACTGGATTGGTTCAAGGCATATTTACAGGTCATGGTTTGTACCCCAAATACAAGGCTTTCATGGGTTTTCTGTAAAGTTTCCCTTCAACCAATTCTCGGCGATTAAGTTGAAGGTCTAGGTCACACCTTGCCACAAGTCTGTGATGCTTAGAACCAGTCCAAACGGGTCGGTTCCTCTCGAATTTCCTGGTCTAATCCCGCACGAACTCGAAAGTTCTCTGGCCATCTTCCATGACCACCATGACTGCAGCGATGTGTGGCGTTTCCATCGCCTTGAATCTTAGCACGCTCCAAAGCGTCCTGGGTAGTGCTGGTGGGTTTGACTAGAAATGTGCTACCCCAAACTTGCCATTTTGTTCTTGAGGGAAAATGAGTTTTGGTGGATTTTGGGGTAGATTATGGACAAATCCATATCACCCGCTCTACAACTTGCGTGAGCACCAACCAAAATGAGCTAAAATAAAGAATAGACAATAGATTGGCGATCACCATTCCATGTGTAAGTTCATCCAATCTGTCATTTTCCGGGGGGAGCATTCGAATAGTGGGGAGTCGGCTCATTTGGGTCGCTTTCCTCCGGTCCTGTGCTTGCATATTGATTCCTTTTGTTTCAGCCTGATAAATCGGTTCCTATCCCTCTGGCGTGACTGTCCACCAGGCGCCAATCGTATGCCATGTGTCACCACTGTCCAATCTGCAAAATATGCCACGCCATCTTCCACGACTTCATGGCTTCGGCAGATCAGCTCCAGCTTAAACTTCGTCACGAAGTCCTTCGCGACATCCTCGTTTTTGGGCGCTCGATCGAAAGAAATGGTGGTTTTGTTCAGCAACAACAGTACGGTGGAAGATGGGGTTTTGCCCCCAGGCACCAGGGGCTTGCCATAGGCACCGTCACAAACTCTTTCTTCATGATCACCAGCTGCCCAACATGCGCAGTTGTTGGAGGTTCAAAGGCATGTGTCCAATTTTTTAAAAAAAGTAAAACATGTTCAACGTGCAACGTGCAAAGCTGAAAATGGAAGTTGTTTGTGTTCGGCTGCGAACCTCACAAAATAGCTGCTGCGAGGCAGTGCAGCATGGATATTCATCCCCACATTCATACAGGAAATTCCTAGGTGACGTGACTCATCTCAAAATCTGGGTGATTAAACCGGTCTGAAACGAGATCCCCCATGTTTGGATGGTATGGTACCCTTGGGAATGTGTTACGAGTACTGAGCTGTCAAAAATGACAATGTTCAATACATCTATACAGAGTCTGTATATGTCTGTGTATATATATATGTATATATATATATAACAAAACGAGAAGAAGAAGAAGAAGAAGAAGGAGGAGGAGGAGGAGGAGGAAGAAGAAATAATAATGATCGATAATATACTAAACATATACAAATGATCCATGTTCCGCAGCTAAGTGTAAAATTGCCATGGAGTAAGCACAACACTAAGTGACTGAAGCCATTAAAAAAGACTGGGTGAATTAGTTTACCCCGCAAACCCTGAAAAATTGGATGATCCATTTGGCAATTTAACAGTTCGCTCTGGAACCATCATCTACTTCCATGGGCCATCTATTCCATAGCCAACTGTAAGAAATCGCCAGAAGTCAACATCAATTGAACTAATAGTCTACTTCTGTGTTTTTTCTAAGACTTAACTCTTCATGAAAACATGTTTTTAAACATATTCAAACTCTTCATTGTTTAAAACAGCCGGGTTGTTCAAAACATGTCGTCCCGGTCACCGAGCATCTGCTCCGAAGGTTACCGAGACGCCCCGGTCGTTCTCGCCCCAGCCGGAGCCGCCTCTCGCCGGATCCGCCCAGAGCAGGTCGCACAGAAGTCCCGACTCCGGCACCGCACAGGGCCTGGAATGACTGACCAATTTGCCATGGAAAAAATATGGAGACTTCATGGGGAATTTTCAGAATTCATGGGGAGTTTAATGTGATTGAATGGGGATTTGATGGGGAATAAATGGGAAATTCATGGTGTCTTTACCATAAAACTGGGCATATGATGGGTACAAGACCTATGATACCCTTCGGTTTCATCAAACATGGCTGGCTGGGAAGTCCCGAACTAGCCATAGGCTTTCAATGGGAAGATTATCATAGATTATCTAGAAATGTGCGATTCTCCAGCAAACCATGTTTGATTACCAGATGCTAAGATGGGCCATGTCCAATGGCCATAGATTATCATAAATTGATGATGTTTTCAATTGCACGGGGATATTGAAACAACGACAATGGGTATCATTCCAATCGACAATTGGCAAACCCCCGTAGTGGTAGTTGCAACATCTTCGTTTTTCCCCGTTCCCGGTAATATCAAATAGCCTCCAAACGAAATCCTGGTACAATGTGTTGGATCTATTATTATCTATATAATCTATTCATGACTTGGGGTCCTATTAGATGGGAGTATTTAACACATCCCCTAAGATGCTCCGCAAAACAGGGCCACCTTTGTTGATCAAATCCAGGCTGGAGGCTTTTCAAGATGGATATATCCAGTTGGATGAGACCGAAATAACTGAGAGGTCCCTACCTTTTTAGGAGCAACGGAGTCTTTTGAAAAGTCCCCGCTGGGGATGTAACACAAGAACAATTCAAGGATGGGTGATGGGTGACCCCTTAAGAATCAGAACTGGAAACAAATTACTGTAGTTCACAGTGGTTGTGGTAGTTGTAGCCCTCAAATGCCCTCAGTACATTGGCTGCCAGCTACCACTGGTAGGGTAGCAAATTTGGTGGCATCGATACATTGAAGTCACACAACAGCTCCCTCATGAGACATTGCTCAACAAGCGAGGCATACGCCCAGAAAAATCGAGCCTGGTACTAAAAGGCGAATTCCCCTTGAAATTGGATCAAAACTGACGCGCGAAAAAACAACAGAGGGCCAAGTTCCTTTACCAGTAAACTCAGTAAACCATCCCAAGTTTGACTGCAGTAACTGCACGCGGCCCAGCCGAATGTGTTTTTGAAGTTGCTACTGCATGGGGACTCTTTATATTGGGGGACATAACCAAAAGTCTCTTGTTTGCCACAAAACACAATCATTTTCAAACATATCATTCATATATATATATATTCATCTGATGAACAAAGATATTCAAAAATGGGCAAGATATAACATGATGTAAGATGATATATCTGCCGTGTGAAATCCAGCACTTTTTTACAGCCTTGCCTGAACCGTCCATGCTCAGACGGCCCCGCCTTTCCAATTGCCTAATTTGGTCCAGATTCTTCAACTCAGGTGAGATCCCACCATGAACGCAAAAGATCTTTTCATTCACCAGAGCGCAAACTGGCATCCTCAGGTGAGTTTTTCGGATGTTTAACCATCGCAAAAAAAAACTCAAAGAACAAGAGCAAAAAAAAGAGCTTTCTGTCCAAATCCCACAAGATTTGACGATTCCCGCTTTTTATGGACAGAACCCCCGCGATGCCCCAAAAGATTCTGAGCCAATTCCAAGCATCATGTTGAAAGTTCTGCAGAAATTCTTCCACAAATGGACGCCTGAAGCATGAAGAAACCACCAGCCAGTTTTCACAAAATGATGCAGCATGGTTCTATCCCCACTTTTCGTGTTTCAACCCATAATGGTCATCCCCAATAGGGCAGAAACAAAACTAACGAACTCAGAAGCCCCATCATTTCTCGTTCGTATCCCCTGTTGGTTGGTTGACCCCCATGAAATTCATACGTGTATATATACATTGTATATTTTATACATCTATTTGTTTGATGATCACATCCCCTATTTTATGACTAACCACATTCAGACACATCAAAAAAAGTGTGCATTAATCATCCATCAACGATACTTTTCTGGATAACATCCTAAAGTGGCTGATGGTTTCAAAAGCGACAAAAACGCTGGTTTTTTATCCCGACAAAATCATCAATCAGATCCCCATATCTTGATAAAGTCTTGATAAATTCCAAAACAAAAACATCGAAAACCATCCAAAACAAAAAAGATTGACAAATCACAAATGGCTCAATACCTATAGATACCTATTTTTAGTGGGTTATTCACATCCATTTTAACCCAGCTATGACTTGGGGTGAACAAAAGGTACCAGGGTTTTGACCCATCCCCAAATCACAAAAATGGACAAATCACCAACTCCGGCACTGTGTCGCTTTTTGCACTCGTCGTAAAAGCCGTAGATTCGACTCATCTGTCCCTCCCTTGGCGTCAGGAGGCTGCACCGTTGGATGTTGAGTCGGAAAACCCCCTTAAGAGCGCCAGTGGATATATGTAAATTTCAAACATCGAAGAAGTTCACAATATAAGATAGTATTATAATGTACTATATGATACATTAAATATATTCAAAAATATTCATCCTTCCAAGATTAATGGAAAATTTATGAACATTAATAGCAATGTATATATATATATATGTATTGATCAATCCCCATTTGGCATTCTGAATGATCAAACACCAACAGTTAATTTACAGTAGATCATTTTAGATCTCATGCTCGTCTTACTACACCACCCCGTATTTGATCTGAGATTCTCATGGTTACTGCGCAGCAGCAATAGATTCTCCGGCTGCTGTGCCTCTCAAGACATGGAAAGGAGTCAATTGGCCTGCTAATGAAAATGTGGTTGGTGGTTGAGCGCATCTGAAAGTCATTGCGGAGTACCATCCTAAGTATCAACGAAGATAAAGAATGGAATCGCCAACCAGCAGTCCCGAAGATGTCTCTGTCACAGTGGCACCTATGATGCTGAAGAACCGGGCAATCCAATCATACTGTCAAAAAAGCTGAATTTCAGAATATTCGGGCCATGAGAACAAGAGAATCCTCTGAAACAACTCTGAAACAACTCGGAAAGTCAAAATTGGGGACGTCTCCAAGATCCTCTCAGGTCGCCCAGAAATCGCCTTGTAGAGAAATAGGAGGCAGGTGGTGTCCAGACTTCTGGGGCCTTTATTCACGTAGCCGCCCAGAAAAAGATAGCGTCGCTTGTCTGGAGTCCCAAACTGCTCGAAAAGCTTCAGCAACTGCTCGAAATGCCTGGACTTCAGGGAGGTTGATTTTCGTACTGACAGCTTGAGGGCACTTGAATATATAAGACAGGGAGTACATCTACATCTATACATACACACACACAGTTGTGCATGTATCCAAAGCATATATATATATATGGATATATATATATATTGTAATATTATATAATCATATAATATTATATATATATGTATATCTAGTTGTATAATATTACAAAATATGTGCATATATATATATATACATATTATAAATATATATATATATTATAAATATATATATATACATAGTCTATATAGTATATATAGTGTGTATAATGCACCTGTCTCTATGTTCGTTTGGATCTTCAGCCACCTGAAATTCCACAGCTAAAATCGTCCAAGCGTCCCGTGGATGTTGCCGACCACGGTGAGTGGCCCAGAGGTCTCCAGGAGCATGGGCTCATGTTGGAAGATTTCTTCGCACTTGGCACAGAGTTTCCTCAAACATGGCCATGGTACCATGGTATGCCATGGTCATTTGGGTGGCCAATGGGCTACCCCCCATTTTTTTTTTGATGGTCGATTGATCATCATTTTCAGGCATTAGATGCCCATTCTGGGAGGTATCAACATGTATCAACCATTTTCAAACACATCCATTTCAAGACAAGCAAGAAATAAAATTGACCACACTTCAATTTTCCCTTTCCTCCCCTTCGGGAGGCCCCGCCGAAGGTCTCAATTTCGTGAAATTCCAGTGCAGCTGCTTTCGAACGGCTCTCCGCGCTCCAAAGAATCGGCAGGCACTTCTCAATGTCAACAGAACTTCGAGTCAAATAGATAGAGACGTCATCTCCATCTTTCCAACTAAGGCTTTCGCAGCTGCTTGCGTCCTCGAGTTTCCTTGGCAGCAAAGGGCCATGATGCCATGGCTTTATGGAGAGGCCGGTTTTTGGATGACCGGTTCCCATCTGTCTGCTGAGGCTCTGATGGCCACAAGACAGATCTTGCAGACAGACTGGAAAGAATTTCTGTTCTTCCTTCAGCCTACGCAGGGTGGGCCCAGGGGTTTCTTCCACAATCGAGCAATGACGGTTGCACATATGGAAGTATGCTTTCCCGGGATCTTCCCGGTCCTATTTTTGTTGGAGACAGAACAATCTGTCTCCAAAATCGCAACTCAACTGCTGTGCTGTAAATTTTCCCCTGAAAAAAAAAAAAACAACTGCCTTTGCTCCAGCTTTCGTTTGATCTCCTTCACAGAAGTCCTGCCAGATACCAACAGCTCCGCCACTTCACTGCCAGCGAGATTCAGCACCTGATGCGGCAGGAATCCACTTAGGTGGTCATGGGGTCAGCTATGGGAGATCCGCAGATCTTCCCAGTTTACTCCCTGGTTTATGTACATACATGGGTATACACATACAACACAAACACACACAGATATATATATATATAATGTGTATATATATATATATGTGTACATGTATATATATATATATGTAGACAACTGTTCCCAGGTCCAGCTACTGACTCGAATGCGCAACCAAACATTATATCCCAGCAACCATCTGAAAATGAATCCTAACCCCTGCCAAGCCACTACGGGTACCCACAGATTGGAAACCACAATCTGAACACCGTGTGACACAGTATGATTGTGATTTACAATAGTATGTTAGTTATCCTCAAAAGATAGATTTTGGTAAATCAAAATTCCTAATGCCTGTCGAAAGAGTGACGTTGGCTCACTTTTCTGCATCTGCTTTGGGAAATTACAAGAGCCCAAAACAGCTTTAGCAATAGTAGGTGAACCAAGGCGTCTGCCCAGATTCCTGGTCACGCCACCATGAAGAAGATACCAACCATACTTTGAGATAAGTTGGATGGCTATGTACACTATGTACCATGCTATGCCTCTATACTTTTGAAAGGGGCAACCATGTTCTGACCATGGCAAAAAAAAAAAAAACTTTCCTTCCAGCGACCCCCACCAAGATCACCAAGCTTCCCCGCCAAGGTACTCTGACTTTGATCCCAGCTGCACTCAGGTCATCCACAGGATCCGCCATTGCAAACAAGCTGAGAAGAACGGGATCCCCGGCGACAAGTTTGGTCCAGGTTTTGGGGTTAAAATGGGTTAAGTAATGTTAAGTATGTCTAGTTCCATGGAGATCAATTCTCGGCATGTTCGGAACGTTTCGGTTCCCGATCATGAAATTGAGGGCTCAGTCCTAAGGGGACATGGTCACTCTTGGGGGAATACCCGTGTTTACCGAAAATGAATCTGGAGATGACATTAAAAGGGTCGAATGCCATTCCAAATACGGGCAAAACCGTGTTGGCCCTTTTGAGGACCATGGAAGGATCCATTTTTGGGGGATGAGAAAACAATAGAAATTTTGGGGGCACACACTTTTTCATCCGTACCCCAATTAAATCTGCAGATGGTTTCTGCCAAATCCAAGTGGTGTGATCCTGCACTTTTCCAACTTGAGCAACAACAAAAAAGGCGGCCTTTCTCAACATCTTACCTAGCTTCACCGTGCTTCGGTGCGCTTCGAAATTGGTGTTTTCTTGATATTCAATGATGATCAATGCTTCATTTTCCCCATAAAAAATGCCAAAGAAATCGGGGATCAGCATCATTCATCCGATTCATCCCGTCGGTTTGGATCGCTCCATAGCTGGACGATCATCCATGACCCAATCCTAAATGGAAATAGTCCATCACTGGCTGACTTCATATGCCCACTGAAATGCCCAAGTATTGTATGATATTGTGATCTATTATGATAGTATAATATATTATGATATTCTATGGAAATCTATGGAATGTCGGAATCTTCGACACATATTATTAAAAACCACTGGGAATCCACGGCCATGAAGTCGCCGCGTCGCCCCTTTTGCTCAGCGCGTTGCGCCATCATCCCAACCTGGGCGATGCCGTGAACCAAACTGTTTGCACCGGTTGACTCCAACGCAGCCGGGCTACGGGGGTCGAGGTGGTGGTTGCTCCGGCAAAGTTGGGACTTGCCTTGGATGAAGTGGATGAAGTTGCCAACTGGGCACCCAGTTAGAGAACCTATAGACTATAATCACTGGGGAGATTTCTATATCCAACTGAATTACAAGATAGTTGTAACAGTTATAAGCCACTTACAAAAATGGGATGCACCCCCAAATTGTAGGCCAATAGGTTTGAGTTGATTCACTCCGGTTCCGGCCTCCAAAATTCAGTTAGCGATGGTTGATTTGTCATCGTTTTCCCTATTAACCTGGCAATTTGGAGGTATATATATATATTAATATTATTATTATTATTATTATATATTATAATGGTATATACCCCATTTGAGTCCATTTGTGAACAAACCCATGTGGTCATCGTCAATTGCTCTGTTCATCTGAGCTTGCTGAATCGATCCAAGTCGCGCAGAGGGAGCCTGCCGGTGGGCCAGTGGATGGGTCCAGCTTGGGGAGGTTGATATACCCGGGGATAAACTAACATTGATATGAGAAACCATGGGGTATCCTAGGAAGATGATCAAACGGTAGAAAACTGTCCATGCAAAAATGTTAAGCAAAACTAATTTACCGTGAGGTGCTAAGAAAAATCACCAGCAATACTACAGCATGGATCGAAATTTGGGATGCAACTGCCAACGGGGTCATTGCTGGGAACATACCGAGTTGTATCAAACTGCAAGGCCAGTGTCCCCCTCTTGGCCTTGAGGTTGACTGAGTCTCAGGCATTGAATTGTCAAGGCCAGGGGCCAGGATGCCACATCATGCCTATGGTTTTAAAGATCTTTGTTTGATAGTCAGATAGTCATGTTGAATTCCAAAATCATGCAACATGAAAAGATATGAAAAGTATGGAGCCTATTGGATATCATTGCAACTGGTTTTCCCTTCACACTTGGACTGCCTCGCGGTTCTTCAGCACTTTGGCTTCGGACCTCTCAGGTGAACTTGAAAAAAAAACAGAGAAGTGCTGGCTGCGGTTGATGAATTAGGATGATTTAGGATAACTTAGGATGATTGTATGATGAATATATGATTGTTTATATAGAATGATTTATGATGATTTGGGATGATTTACAATGATTGTTTTGAATAATTCATGTGTTTGTTTTTTACAAATTGAATAGACTTCTGTATACAAGGATAAAAAAATACCAAATATTTACTATAACCTCGTAGCTGAATAGAAAAACATGTGTGTCTTTAATAGGTATCATTTCTCACTATATACATGGGCCAAGGTTTCCAGTTCGCAAACTGTAACAAATTACCAGAGGATGACCCCATGCAATCTTGCTTCCATAAAATCCCGATTTGTCTGGCTGAGTTATAATTCACCCACTTGAAATAGCTGAAATACGTCATTTGGGGATTCCTCGAATCCAGTTCCCATCATTCCAATGATGTCAGGACGTGCGAATACTATGATTTATCCAGATTTGTAGATATACCCTCCTGTTAACTAACATAGATGTGGAAAACCCAATCATTCCATGTCATTTCCTAGGGAAAACAACCAGGTTTTCCACATCTATATTGGATTCTGTTCGTTCACCCTAGGGTAACTACTGAATAGGTTTTGATCCTCATCCCCTCTGCATCCGCCTCATGGAGCCTTCACCTGCAACGAAAAAGGTAGTGAAGTGGATGGCGGTTTCCCAGGAATATGTTTTTGACCCAAAAAAGAAGATGTAGAAAGTGGGAAAAGCATGAAAAAATATGTAAAAATTTGACTTCCAAGAATTAGGGGCTTAAACTAATACCTTTTGGGATCTCTTTCGGGGTTACAAAAAGCCTGGTAGCAGTTTTGAAAACTGCTGTTGGGTTCTACTATACTTGTACTACCCCTGCATTATTTAGTCATAGAATGCGCTACATGGGACAATATTAAACCATGTTAAACAATATTAAGGAATATCAAACACCTATATATTGATTTCCAGGTTACTATGATGCGTGCATTATGTATATGCATAGATACATAGGTATAGTCCTTCCCAAAAAAAGATTCACTAAAGGGTAAATTGATCATATTGCTTTAGTAGCATGGTAGTCCACAGTAACTCCATAGATGGGTTCTTAGACTGTATCAAACAATATTAACACATATCAAGCACGTTAAACCATGTTGAACCATATTGAACCATATAATCCCCGATAGATACTTGTATTCAAAAGGCTGATAGCCAGCCTAGAACCGGAAAAAAAAACAGCACAAGCACATACCACCAAAGAAACACTCCAAATAACTGTTGGAATTCCACTCCCCCAAAAAATTAAATACATGTGCAGTAAATACCCCACCTATCGGCCCTCAAAATGCATAGATTCAATGCTACAGGATTTCGCCTCGGGGGTGTTTCAGATGATCCTATGAGCAGTGCTGAAAACCCTATGAGTTGTTCATTTCTCATAATGGATTAAGTGATAATCCCCAATATCTTGGATAGTATAACTCTGTATAACCCGATTTTTCATCATCTATCAACCCTGGTTTATCAATTATATCCACTTACGTCCCCATATTTTTCATGGTTAAAACCCATATTGAATAAGTATACTCATGAACATAGGCTTACCAGCTACTGCTGATCGAAAAATAGTATATCTACATATGTGGATGATCATAGTTATTTGGAGTGTTTATATATATATATATATTATATATATTATATATATATATTATATATATATAAACACTCCAAATAACTGTTATTTTCTTGTAATCAAACATGGCTAGCTGGAAAATCCCCAATGTATAAAGGTTTATAAAGGTTTATAGTTTATAGCTGGGAAAATCATCTACAACTGGGGAGTTTCCAGCTACTTTCTGAGGCTTCCACTGCGAAGCGGAGCTGTGCCAGCAGTCGCCGTCCTCAGGGATCGAGCTTGGGAGATTCGCACAGTGAATTTCTGCGGGATTTAAACGGCAAAGCACATGGAAAATGTAGAAACTAAACTTGTGGATTGAAAAGTCTGGAGGAAAACCATCTACTTCCATTCCACAATTTCAGGTTGCTTTGGAAGATGTTTTCTTTTTTGAAACACCACCATAGTTCCATAGGAAACGATGTTTTGAAACATAGGAAATCACCTTCTGGGACTGATCGGCTTGGAGCGGCCTGTGCTGGTCAAAGTCCACATGCCCTATAGATTCCCCAAATGGTGGATTTCCCACTGGGAAAATACGAAATCACCTTAAACAAAACCATGAAGAGTCATCTTCGCACATCAACCTGGCTGTTGTTTTGTTTGCTTCCCAGTAATCTGTCAATGGAACATTCCCCAGCATCCATCCATTTGAATGGACGATCTCCTCACTTTAAACGGGTGTTTCTCATTGCCAAATTTGATTGTCAGGTTGTAATGCCTCAATTGTATATATGTGTTGCCGATGCAGTTGCCACTTTCAAAAGCTAAATCATTACAAAATTCAGCATTATATATAAACCACTATATACAGCAAATCAATACACATGTGGATGAGTCCATATCAAAATTCAGTTTAGGTCTGTATAAATATAAAACTCAGTATAAATACCTAGGCATCACCATGACAATTCGTAGAAATCTTCAAAAAGTAACATATTAATCAATGTAAACTCACCATAAAATCACATAAAACCACCCAAAATCCGGCCATTTTGTTGCCCGCCCAGTGACCCAAGGCCCCAACTGAATCTCGCCCGCGGGTGGCGTCGGGTCGGCACGCAGCGGTCGCGAGGCTCGCCAGTGGCGGACCTAGAGTTCTTGGGGTCACCTTTTGGGGAATGGGTCAAAATTGAAGACCTGGGGGACCACAGATTTTAGTCTATAGTATTATATAGTATTAACCATCTAACTATTGGGCTACGCAATTTTGACTTACCCATATATATTATACATATGTGTGTGTATATGCATGCATGCATGCCATGGATGGATGTATGGATGTATGGATGTATGGATGTATGTATGTATGTATGTATGTATCCCTTTGAGCCTGAAGAAAAATGACCCATCGCGCCTCCAGAGTTTTGTGATTAAAGCATAATATCAAACCCCTATCCTATAAGCCTATATATAGATTGGCTATCCAGCTTTTGAAA